CCCCTCTCAGGCCTGGAGTTTCACGGAGCTGTAGAGTGGGAAGGTGCCCCCAAAGGCCATCCAGCCTGACCCCCTGCAATGCTGGAATTGCAACTGAAGCATCCCTGGCAAATGACCATTCCCGAACAAGCTCCCTAGTGCTGCGCATTTTACAAGACCTGCGGACCGTGGATGTGGTGCCGCCTGTGTAAGAACCCGAGGAGGAGCTGGTGGATCAGTCCAGCCTCCTGTCCTCGCTGTGGCCAACCAGAAGCCCCAAGGGAAGTGTGATAAGAATTTTAAAGTCTTACATATATAATAAATGTTCATAAATGTACCAACCAAGCACGTACACAGATCAGCACAGGAAGACCGACCTGGAACCATTTTTGATTCTCAAACTGATCAAATGTTTTCTCTGCAAGGTCAAAGGAAAATGGAAAAGCCTCCCCATTGTCTTTTCCTTCACAAATCCCGTCTTAAGGGTATGTCTGTGTATGAATAGGGTGTGAGCCTGTGACCTGGCCCAGGAACTAAGTATTTATCATTACAAAAGACTGGCCAGGCTTCCCAGGGTATCCAATCAAGTGAGCATTAGATAAACAATGATGAGATAAACAACGCACTCAGATTTCTGCTGTAGACCGCCTTTTCTGTGATGTAGGTATGATGTATCTGGGGGGTGGTCTTGGGCTACACCCCTTCTCATCCAGTACAATCTACAATTGAGCCTGAATACCACCTCCCTGCAGGGCAGGCCTAGCCCTCCCCCAGAAATCTGCTGGCATGTACCCCTGTTGCCCCCCCCCAACATCTGTCCTCCTGCTGCTTTGCATCCGGGCACACCTAGAGAGAGGCTCCCTGGCAAGAGGCTTGTGGGTCACAGACCCCAGAAGGGTTTTCCTGCAGGAGGGGCTCTATGCTCTGTGCCAATGGCGGACACCCCCCCCCCAAAAAAATATTCCTGACTCGCAACTTTGAAAGGCAGCCCCACAAGGCTGCAGGCCCCCACCTCCAACAAGCCCAGACCAACAGTGGGGAGAGTCTTAAAAGGAGGAGCCCAGACCCCGACCATAAACCACTCAGGGGTCTCCCCCAGCCAATGTAGCAGGTCTGGGGGGGGGTGTTATTCCAGGGACCCTCACAGAGATCTCTGCAGCAACAGCACCACCTGCTGGCAATGGAGGCAAACACCTCGGCAAACTTCACTGAGAAATCCTAATAAAGTCGGTTTCTGCGCTGCTATTTTTAGCCCTGCGTTTGGACACGGGTGGAAAACGAACACATTGCAGGCTGAAATCTAAAGCTAGGAGCCGCTTCTCAACTCTTTTGTAGGCTGAAAACAACTCTACGCGCGCGCGCCCCCCCCCCCCCCGTTGCTCCCTGTGAGGAAGAAGAAGGACTCTGGTGCATGAGTGGCTCCCAGCAGAAGCCGTTAAGAAGACAAAAGGATCAGACAAAAGGCCTTCCTAGCCTAACATCCTGGAACATCATACAGCAATCATACACTGACAGCATCTCTGGTGGATTATTTCAACACCTGGAATATGGCACAGGTGCCTCTGGAATCCAAAAGTTAGCCAGTGTCACCTGCTGCATTTTGCACTAACTGGACGCAAAAGTGTCGCAGGTAACTGGCAAGCCTCTGAAAAGCTATGCAATGACTTCCAGCAAGTATCCCTGAAGGAGCGTCTTCACCCCCCATCGTCCAGCCTGGACACGGAGGTCCAGCTCCGAGGGCCTTCTGGTGGTTCCCTCCCTGTGAGAAACTATAGAACCAGGCACAGGGCCTTCTTGGTGGTGGCCCCCGCCCTGTGGAACGCCCTCCCACCAGATGTCAAGAGAAAAACAACTACCAGACTTTTAGAAGACATCTGAAGGCAGCCCTGTTTAGGGAAGCTTTTCATGTTTAATTGGTTATTGTATTTTAATATTCTGTTAGAAGCCGCCCAGAGTAGCTGGGGAAGCCCAGCCAGGTAGGTGGGGTATAAATAATAAATTGTTGTTGTTGTGCCAGGCAGGGGATTACCCAGAAGAGGTCTGAAAAACACTTTGGGACACTAAAACGCCAAGTATTCTTTTTCTGCACACCTTTCCCAAAAATGTTTTGTTAAACTGCAAATGCACCTGTGTGTCCCCCCCCCCCGCTTCCCAAAAGTGTAAGATCTCTGGAATGTGGAGGACCACCCCAAAAGGGCACAAACAGCGGCTCCACGCAGGAGGCAGTGATTTTTGGGACCCCCAGAATTTAATCATCTTGGACCTCCAGAGATCTTTCCCATGAAGTTCATTCCGATCATTTAAGACAGATTACTACAGCTGGATGGATGGAGAAGAGGAGTGAAACCAAAGCAGACCTCTCTGCCCAGCAGGCATTTTCAGAGCTGGCCACGGTGTTAATATTCTTCATTTCACTTGCTAGTTGCCTGACACCAAGCGGTCTCTGGGCGACTTGCAACAGATTGAAAGAGAGACAATTTTCTAAAGCAAGAATCGTAAGCCAGCCTCTGAAGAAATGATCAGCAGCTCAGAGCAGCCCCAACCGTTAAGGCAAAAGGACAGGCATAGGCAAACTCGGCCCTCCAGATGTTTTGGGACTACAACTCCCATCATCCCTAGCTAACAGGACTAGTGGTCAGGATGATGGGAATTGTAGTCTCAAAACATCTGGAGGGCCGAGTTTGCCTATGGCTGCATAAGGACATCTTGTGCCAATGAATGGCTGCGAGGGGAGGGCCATTTTCACCTGGCACCAAAAACAGGTTTAAGCAGGCACCAGGCAGTCTTCAATGGGGAAGGGGGGGGTCTAAACCAGGAATCCTCAAACTCGGCCCGCCAGCTGTTTGGGGACTACAACTCCCATCATCCCTGACCACTGGTCCTGTTAGCTAGGGATGATGGGAGTTGTAGTCCCAAAATAGCTGGAGGGCCGAGTTTGGGGATGCCTGTTCTAAACCTCTCTTAAAGTTAAAGGTAAAGGGACCCCTGACCATTAGGTCCAGTAGTGGCCGACTCTGGGGTTGCAGCACTCATCTCGCTTTATTGGCCAAGGGAGCTGGCATACAGCTTCCGGGTCATGTGGCCAGCATGACTAAGCCGCTTCTGGCGAACCAGAGCAGCGCACGGAAACGCCGTTTACCTTCCCGCCGGAGTGGTACCTATTTATCTACTTGCACTTTGATGTGCTTTCGAACTGCTAGGTTGGCAGGAGCAGGGACTGAGCAACGGGAGCTCACCCCGTCACGGGGATTCGAACCGCCGACCTTCTGATTGGCAAGTCCTAGGCTCTGTGGTTTAACCCACAGCGCCATTCGCATCCCTTTCTTGGAGAGGGGCATTTAGAGATGGGCTTCAGGGAAACATCTAAAAGTCCGGACACTGCACCTCTCTTGATGCGAACCTGAACTGGACAAGTTTTCATAGAGAAAAACATGCACTTTGAATTGAGCTCAGAAACGAACTGAGCTCAGCTGACTTAAGATAAGCTCTACGAGGTCAGACCACCAACACACCCACCCCTGCCAGCAATTTGACTGCAGCATCCTGCAGTTTCTGAACCACCTCGAAAGGCAGCCCCACATATAACACGCAGCAGTAATCTAACCTAGAGGTTACTGAAGCCAAGCTGTCTGTCTGGATGGGGGCATAGATGGACCCCTGCCAAAAACTGGCAGAAGGTTCTCTGTGCCACGGAGACCACGGGCATCTCTCATGATACACTCGTCACTAACTACCGGACTGGGTGGCAATGGGTGCAGGGGGCCCCATCCATTTTTATCCAGCCTTTTTCCTCTGAGGCTGATCTGCAGAGATCCAAGTTTTCCCACGTCCAGGAATGCCTTCAAAAACTAAGCTGTTATTTTGGAGTCTGTTAAGTCTCCAACCTTGACACGCGATGGGGAGGGCACGTCATGCGAAGGGGTGAAGGGAATCGCTGCTCCAAAAGAGAAAAGGAGATGGCTCAAAGTCACATTGCTCTTTTAACGCATGCATCATTTTGCATGACGCTCTGGATCACTTCTTGTGAAAAAAAGAAACTGAGAAATGCAATTAATAATAGCAATAATAATAGGCTGTGCCTGCCCCCTTCCTAGTTGGAATTAAAGCTACATCTCGGGGGAAGCTTGTGCACTGACCATTTTTACAGGACATGCTGCCACAGGGGAGCATAAAAAAAATTTTCTTTCCTGGTTCCTTGTTCATGCACAAATATCCTCCCCGCTTGAGACAATGCTGAAAAATGGAACAGAACCATCGAAAACCATCATGGCCACCAAGTGAGTTCACATTTAAAGATCCGCTATAAACCTTACGACAGTTTGGGTGTGAATAGTTCAATTGTTTAGAGCGTGGTGCTGGTAACACCAAGGTTGCAGGTTCGATCCCCAGATGGGGCAGCTGCGCATTCCCGCATTGTGGGGGTTGGACTGGATGACCCTCAGGGTCCCCTTCTATGATTCTTTAGTATGCAGATTTTGCTTAAACAGTGAATAAAACCATGGAGGAGATCTTAACACTCAGGTGGGTGGGGGGTACAGAGTAAGAACGTACACCCCCCCCTCCCTGCAGGTTTCCCCTGCCAAGGCCAAGTGGCAGAATTGGGGCAACTGTCCCACCACAAAGAGCCACTTCCCCCTTGCCCCCCCCAACGACCCTTCACTTCCAGCATGCGGGGGGGGGGGCAGGAGCTGCCACTGCTCTAAGGGCCCCCCCCTTCTGCAGAGCTAGGAGAAGAGAGAGATTTAGTCACAGCCCTTAAAAGAGGAGGTAAACCAAAGATAAAAGCCATGGAGGGGGCATGAAAAGATGCCATGCAGAGTTGGGGGGGGCGCAAGGGGTAGGATTGTGCTGTGGGGAGGGTCCCGTGAGCTGCAGCCAGTCAAGACACCCCCATGGGCAGAGGGAGGGCCAACCCAGGTCTTTGGGGGGTTTCCTGGGAGAGACGCCCCAAAACCACAGGTAAGGGGGGGTCACCTGGTGCACACGCACACACACACACACACACAGCTTGCCCAGCTCACCTGGCCGTCGACTGGAGAGGAGGCGCTTCTTCCGCCTGCGGCGCCCCCACGGGCGAAACCGGAGAGGCCACTGAGGCGGCTCTGGGCCGCGGGAGAGCGAGGGAGGAGGCCGCCACAGCGGAGCCCCTGCCCAAGTCAGGATGCAGGACGGGAGACGGGAAGAGGAAGTCGCTGGGGTGGGCAGCCCCCTCCAGCGAAGGCGTGGAGAAAGTCACGGGGGCGGCAGGTTGGTCCTCGGAGGGGTGCGCAAGGAAGAAGCCGTGAGGGGCCGCCTCCGGGCCGCCCAGACCCTCCACCCAGGAGACCGGCAGGACGGCCGCCTCCGAGGAGGCCGGGTCAGCTGGCCTCTCCACAAAGGGGTTGTTCTGCGGGGAAGGCGGCGGTGGCGTCCCGGCCCAGGGGGCAAAGGGGTTGCCCGGTGCCAGGGCGGTGTCCGTCCAGCTGCCCTGAGGCTCCTCTCTGCCCGCCTGCCAAAAGTCGGCCTTCTTGAAGTCCACCACCCGGTCGTCCGACCAGCTGGACGACAGCTCCGACTCGCTCAGAGAGCTGCCGGCCCGAGCCTGCCTGAGCTGCCCGCCTGCCAAGACCGCGGGGAAGGGGGGCGACGTGGCGGGCAGGCTCTGGCTGAGGGGGCTTCGCGCAGGGTCCCCCTCCGGGAAGGAGAGAGCCCCTCTTTCTCCTGGCGGCAAATCTTCCTCCGGCCCCCCAAGCCCTGGCCGCCGTCCTTCGGGCCCCGAGTCCTGCGACAGCGGCTGCTCCTCCTCCACGGCCGTCCAGAACAGGACCGAGGGGCTGGGCCGGGGGTCCTGGGGGGTCTCTTTGCGCGCGGGGAGCTCCTTGGCCGTCTGCAGCGAGCCCAGCTCCGAGAGCCCCTGCGGCCAGGGAGCGCCCGCCTGCCACACGGAGGAGTCAGACAGGCCTGACGCGCCCAAGGAGAGATCGGTAGGGCAAGTTTCAAACTGCTCGGCCCCCGGGGTCCCCCCCGAAGGGAGGCCTCGGCCCCTCAGCTCATTATCTGCTGCAGGTTCGGCGCCGTCGCCTGCCAGCCCGAGGCTCCCGGTGGCACGGACGCCAGCTGCTCCCATTATCACCAGTGGCGCCAGGGAGGAGGAGGCGGCGGCCACTGGGGGAGGCGTCCCTTCGCCCTCTGCGGGCACTTCCAGCTCCTCGGGCACAGCTGACTCGTCTTTCCGCCTCTCCTGGACGCCCCACGCCTCCTCTAGGCCGAGGGGCACGAACCTCCTTGGGGGCTTCCGGGGGGGTCCCTCGGCCTGTTCCTGAGCCCCCCAGCCGGGCATCTCTCTGGCCTCCTCTATATTCAGGCTGGCATCGGGCGCCTCGTCGGGTGCCAGGCAGAGGGCAGCTTCCTCTCGCCCCACGGCGTCCCAGCGAGGCAAGTCGGCCGCGGGGGCCTCCCCAGTTTCGGCTTGGGGGGCCCGGCCGCTTCCACAGAGGGGGCTTTCCGCGGTCGCGCTTTGAGGTGGAGGGGGGGGCCTCTCCTCCAAGAAGACCTCGTCCACGGTGGGCCAGGGGCTCCCGCTGTCCTCCGGGGGGCCTTCTTCGCAGGGCTCCCCCCAGGAGCTGCTCTCCGAGGGCTGGCCCAAGGCTTGGCCCCCCAAGCTCTCTCTTCTCGCTCCTCCCAGCCCCTGCTCAGGGGGGCAGCTCAGCGGATCTGGACTCAGTGGGCCGGCATCCTCCTGTCCCCCGGCTTGGGGTTCCGGGGTCTCGGCTAGGGGGGCGTCCGGGTGGGAACCGCCTTCCAGCCCCTTCCCTGCAGGCGGAGGCTCCCTGGGAGCGTCCGGCCGGAGCCTGCTGGTGGCGAAGGCGTCAAAGCTGTCGTCCCACTCCGGGGGGGCCCTGGCAGAGGCGGGCGGAGACGGGGTCCTGGCGCTCTGGGCCTCGGGCGGCAGGTCTCCAGCCGTGGCGAAGGGAGGGGGGTCCTGATCCGCAGAGAGACAAGGGTGGTCCGGGGAACTAGAGAGAAAGTGAGCAGGGGAAGCAGGTTTAGTATCTGGTCAGCCAGGATCGGGTCCTCGCAGGAAGGGCAGCTGCCTCTGCAAGGCTGGGGAGGGGCTGCGTGTGAATGCAATGGGGCAGAACCAACAATTGGAGCTGGGGGCAAGGGCAGGAGCTGTCTCGGAGCTTGAGGACTGTCTATACCTTAGCAGGCACTTTCAGGCTGTGGAGAGAGACAGAACAGACCCCCCCAGCGCCCCCCACCCCAGTTCATGCTCCATGGGATTCACCAACACACACACACACACACACAGAGCGGCCAACGTCAGGGCACATTCTGGGGGAAGAGCGAGGCTTTGCTGAAGCAGGGCAAGGAGGATGGCAAAAACCAAACCAAAGCATGGAGGGAACAAGCAGAGGCAGGGGAAATAAACAGTGATGTCACAGGATGCACCCCCCCACAAAGACACTCCAATTGAATGCATGTGCCCCCCCCATGCCGTATGATGCACTGTAGATGCCTGACACGCATTTGGGGCTGGCAGGGGAGAGAAACGCCTCTGGCACAAACCAAGAATTGGGACCCGTCCTCTCTTGCGGGGAGGGGGGTCCCTCTCTCCAGGGGGCTGAGGTACCCCCCCCAACTCACCACCCTGCTCCCAGTCTTGGGGTGCGCTCCCCAGAGAGGGACTCCCCCGGTTCCACTCCTGCCTCTCCCTTCATCTATCCCAGTCCGGGGGGCAGAACAGGACTCCAGAAACGGGGATGAGGACCGCCAAGCAACACGCCCTGACGCAGGACCCAATCCGGAAGGAAGCTCCTTTCCCCGAGTTTGCACAGAAGAACAGCCTGCCGGCCGGATGGTGTTTTGCGGGTCGGGCGCAGCTCCTGCGGCTGCCACCAGTGGCACCCAAAAACTCTCTGCTTCCCTGGAGCCCAGGGGGTGCCCGCGATGGGGGACGGGCAAGGCTGCAGCAGGTGGCCCCCATTCAAGCGCAGAGGAGACCCCCAGACCGTCAGCAAAGGGACTCCCAGGCCTTCATCCTGGGAACCGGGCAGCTTCGTGGCAAGCCCACCTTTGGGTGGCACAGGCACCCTGAACCCCTTCAGTCACAGAATGGGCCACCCAGGCAAGGAACGGGGAGCCAGGGAGACTTGGAGGGCAGCAATTCAGACCCGGGAGCGCAGGACACCCCCCCCCCAGGCCTCTCCCCTTCTCCCCCCAAGCTGGTTTCCTGGCCTCTCTCCCAAAGCCACCAGGGCTGCTGCTCTTCGGCCGCCTGACGCTAGAGGGAGAAGGGAGGCACACAGCAAAAGCCGCTCGGCCAGCGGATTCAGGGAAGTTTTTAATCTGTGACATGTTAATGTATTTTTAATCTTTGTTGGAAGCCGCCCAGAGTAGCTGGGGAACAAATGTTTTTATTATTATTATTATTATTATTATTATTATTATTTAGGGAGGCAGCAGTCCTGCAGAAGTGCAATCCAGGGGCCTCCCGTGCCTTTGTGGTTATTAACCCCCTGATTAGTAAAGGTAAAGGGACCCCTGACCATTAGGTCCAGTCGCGGACGACTCTGGGGTTGCGGCGCTCATCTCGCTTTACTGGCCGAGGGAGCCGGCGTACAGCTTCCGGGTCATGTGGCCAGCAGGACTAAGCCACTTCTGGCGAACCAGAGCAGCGCATGGAAACACCGTTTACCTTCCCCCTGGAGCGGCACCTATTTATCTACTTGCACTTTGACGTGCTTTCGAACTGCTAGGTGGGCAGGAGAAGGGACCGAGCAAAGGGAGCTCACCTCGTCATGGGGATTCGAACCGCCGACCTTCTGATCGGCAAGTCCTAGGCTCTGTGGTTTAACCCACAGCACCACCCTTGTATCCCTTGATTGCTCCCCCTTTTCCGCCCAGGGGCTCACGGAGGGCTTGAGAGGCATCTTGGAGAGGCCCCGGTCCAAATCATCACCCATGGAGCTCACTGGCCTGCCAGGGCCTCTCAGCCCGGCATACCTCACAGGGTCCTTGTGGGGATTTAAATGGGGGGGGGGGAGAACTGTGCACAAGGCACCTTGGCCTCCGGGGAGAAAGAGGCAAAGTATGAAGGACTCTCCTTCCTTGGAGGTTTCTAAGCAGAGGTTGGGTGGCCACCTGTCAGGGATGCTTCAGATGAGATTCCTGCATTGTTGGGGTTGGGCTGGATGACCCCTGGGGTCCCCTCAACTCTACCATTCTGTGATTCTATGAAAATGAATAAATCAAGGGTCGGAGGCAGGAGGCGGCTGGAGGGCTCAGTGGGTAGAGCATGAGAGCCTTCATCTTAAGGTCGTGGGTTCGAGTTCCGCACTGGGCAAAAGGTTCCTGCATTGCGGGGGGTTGGACTAGATGACCGTGGGGACCCCTTCCAATTCTATGGTGAGTTCTAATCTATGATTAGCCCTGCCTCCACGGGGACCTCCACCCAAATGTCAGCCGGCCTTACTCCGCAGCGGAGGGGGTCCCTTGGTCCAGGCCCAGTGGCCTCTCTCCATGGGGACCCCTTGGACTCGCGTGGCCAGGAAAACCCACAGATCCTCCTCTTTCTGCTCAGCGCAGCTGCAACCCTCAAAGGGCACATCCACAGGGCATAGCCCAGGGAGCAAAGGAACCCAGGCGTCCGGCTGACCAGTGCCTTCTGGGTCCAGCAGCCCAGGATGAGGCCAGTCAGAGCCGCATTCCAGGCATACCTGGCCAGCCCCCCTCCTGGTCATGGGGCTCAGGGCAGGCAGGAGGGGAAACAGTCCAAGCATCTTTTGGCAGGAAAAAGCAGAGGAGTTCCATCTCCTTCCCATCCTTAGAAACAACCTGAGATTCCTCCTCCTCCAGAGCAGCCCCACAGCTGCCCCACCTGCTCTGCCCCAGTGTTTCCCCCCCAAGTCCTGCTGCTTTACGCCTCTCCCCCCAACTCCACCTGCTGTTCCCAGATCACAGCTGTCAACGTTTCCCTTTTTTAAAGGGAAATTCCCTTATTCCAAATAGGATTCCTCGCAAGAAAAGGGAAAAGTTGACAGCTGTGTCCCAGATTCTAACACGGCTCCGTTGCTCCGGAACAGCGGGCCACGCTCCGAAGACACACCCAGAAACGCAGCTGCGGGGGGGGGGGGAGGCGGAACTGGGCCCCAATCCTAGAATCGGAGCATGAGAAGGGATCCCCCAAGAGAAGGAATCTCAGCTCAAGAATCCCTGACAAGAGCCTGACTTTCCGCTGTTGAGCTGCTCTTGTCCTCATATTCCTGACGTTGAGCAGGAATCTCCCTTCTTGAAGTCTGAAGCTCCAGGTTCGAGTCCTACCCTCCAAGAGCAGGAGAAAACAAGCTGGCTCCCTCTTCAAGGTATTTGAAGACGGCTCTCCTAATCTCCTCTCAGTCTCCTTGGCGTCCACACAAAACTTTTAGAAGACATCTGAAGGCAGACCTGTTTAGGGAAGTTTCTCATCTTTGATTTTTATCGTGTTTTTAATATTCGGTTGGGAGCTGCCCAGAGTGGCTGGGGAAACCCTGCCAGATGGGTGGGGTATAAATAAATTATTATTATTATTATTATTATTATTATTATTATTATTATTATTATTTAGGGTGGCAGGGAGGGTTGCAATTTGCGCAGGGCGGTCTCCATCCACCAAGTCTTTGCACCTGACCCCCAAATCTTTTCCTCTGCCTCCCCGAATCCCCATTCAGCTCTCAGCATACAATGCCCTACTCGGGGGGGAGCACACGTCCATCTGACCAGACACCCCCTTTGCTGACCCCAGATACGGATTGTGGCTTCACATTGGTGAGAGGACAATCTGCACGCGCCCAGGGACACTCTTCACACTTGCACAGCAGATCACAAAGAGAGTGAGGCACGCCACTGCAGTGGCAAACCTGGCAGTGGGGCTGTTCAGGAAGGGACCACTTCACAGGACCTTCGTGGTCACAGAGAGTCAAAATATTTTCACAGAACCATGGAACTGTAGACTTGGAAGGGATTCCTGAGGGTCATCTAGTCCAACCCCTGCAATGTAGGAATCTCAGCTGAGGAATCCAAGGCAGATGGCCAGGCAAACTCTGCCTAAAAACCTCCAAGAAAGGAGAGACCACCACCTTTTGAGGGAGACTGTTCCACTGTTGAATTAATAATAATAATAATAATAATAATAATAATTATTATTATTATTATTATTATTATTATTATTATTATTATTTTATTTCTACCCTGCCCATCAGGCTGGGTTTCCCCAGCCACTCTGGGCAGCTCCCAACAGAACATTAAAAACAGAATAAAACTTCAAACATTAAAAGCTTCCCTAAAGAGGGCTGCCTTCAGATGTCTTCTAAAAGTCGGATAGTGGTTTATTTCCTTGACATCTGATGGGAGGGCGTTCCACAGGGTTGGCGCTGTCGAAGAGCTCTTACTGTCAGAAAGTTCTTCCTGATGCTGAGTCAGAATCTACTTACTTGAAGCCATGGGTTCGAGTCCTACCCTCCAGAGTAGGAGAAAACAAGCTTTCTCCCTCTTCCACTGTGATCCACGCGACGGTCACCTCCAGACTGGATTATTGTAACTCGCTCTACGTGGGGCTGCCCTTGAGACTGACCCAGAAACTCCAGCGGGTGCAGAATGCTGCAGCGAGACTCTTTACAGGGTCCTCGCCATGGGATCGCATTCACCCAGTGCTATACCAGCTGCACTGGCTCCCGGTGGAGTACAGGATCAGGTTCAAGGTGCTGGTTTTAACTTTTAAAGCCCTATACAGCCTAGGACCCTCGTACCTACGGGACTGCCTCTCCTAGTATGTCCCATGGAGGACCTTCAAACAAAAACATCTTGGAGGTCCCAGGCCACAGGGAGGTTAGGCTGGCCTCAACCAGAGCCAGGGCTTTTTCGGCTGCGGCTCCGATCTGGTGGAACGCTCTGTCCCAAGAGACCAGGGCCCTGCAGGACTTGACATCTTTCCGCAGTGCCTGCAAGACGGAGCTGTTCCACCAGGCCTTTGGCCAAG